TTTCAATATATCTTCATTATTCTACTTTTTAGTTTAACCAACAACGAACAGCTTGTTACATCGATAATCAACATCTTTAAAATTTTGATTAATTTTAACGTTTATGGAGATTTTATCTAGCAACTCTTACATGTAATTTCGAAAACTTACAATTCCTTTTTCCAAACGAAAAGTGATATTTCTAGAATTGTTTCTTTTGGTTTCGAATCCGCTACCATAACATCCGCGATAGAATCGCGTCCTCGAAGCGACAGACTTTCTAATATCGCGCTATTATTCTCGTCTATTAGTATTTACGTGATTTCTTGTTACGTGCAGCCCGAACGGACTTCACCGTACGATTAGTCTAATCTCACTTTTAAAAAAATAATAAAGTTGCTTCGACACTTTTTCGTAATGCAAAAAGGAAGCCTATCGACACATTAGACTCATCGTATTCTCGATCGACGGCGTGAACAAGAAATACTGTAAGTTGTTTATTTTTTTTTTCTCTCTCTGACATCTAAATCTATTTGGTTGAGGTTGAAAATTACTAGACAACATAATTTACCTCTTTCCTTTGTCTTTTTTTTTTTCTCTATACTTACTTCAGTAACTTCAAAGACATGCGGTAGTGATCGAGTTGATACGAGGCAACTTTCGACGTACGCCTCATTCTATACGTAATTTTTTTATGTTCCAAGTGTAGGCGCTGCTAAAAATCGGACAAATATCTATTTCGGTATATTTACGCTGCCTGTAGCCCGTTTCCGTCTCCTTTCGTTCCTCGTTCCGTTGAGTTCCGGCGTTTATGTATACTTATACAGAATGTTCGACCAGCACCTGGGAAAAAATTTTAATGGGAGATTCTGGATCTCAGAATAAGACGAAAATCAAGAATACCAATTTGTTGATAAAGGCTTCGTTAATTAGTTATTAACGTTTGAAGTTCCGCCCGTACTGAATTTTTTTCTCGAAAATGCGCAGGATTTCGGGGGCATATTTATTCACAAAAAACGATCGTAATTGACCCTCGCAACGGAAAACAATTTTTCCAAAACGATTTGAAATTTTTCATTTTCGTCGAAAAATTTGTCCACCTTCCTGAATTTTTTCCTCCAAAATGTGTAGAGGTTTGGGCGTATGTGTATTCACCAAAAATGATTGTAATCGGACCCTGTAAGTGAAACTAATTTTTCCAAAACGATTTGAAATTTTTTAATTTTGTCGAAAAATTTCACATCTTCTCGAATTTTTTTCTCGTTACGTGGGTGGAATTTTGAGGTTATGTCTAATGACCAAACATGATTGTAATTGACCCCTGCAACCAAAAATAATTTTTCTAGTATGATTTGAAACACATGAAATTTCAGGGAAACATATCAATGGATGGTCAGACATTATATTTTCCGTAAAGAATTTTTTTCTCCAAAGGGCGTAGGATTTCAGGGGTATGTATATTCACAAAAAATGCTTGTAATTGACCCCTGGAACCAAATATAATTTTTTTAGTATGATTTGAAACACATGAAATTTCAGGGAAACATATCAATGGATGGTCAGACATATTTTCGGTAAGGAATTTTTTTCTCGGAAATGCGTAGGAATTTGGGGGTATGTTTATTGACCAAAAATGATTGCAATTGATCCTTTCAACTGAAAATAATTTTTTCAGAATGATTTAAAATTTTTTAATAACTTTTTAACGAAACCTCAATCGAGAAATTGATATTCTTGATGTTCGTCTTATTTTGGCCTCTAGAATCTTCCATTAAAATCTTTCCCAGGGTTGAGAACACCCTGTATATTGCAGTTAATTATATTTCACTTAAGAAACTCAGAAGAACGTGTTCGATGGTAACATCTTACGTAAAAGTGTACGATTCGAAAGAAAATGTTATAGTCTCTGGAATGATTCTATAATCTGGGAGTTTCCCGTGGATTTATTATTTTTTTTTTTTTTCTTTTCGTAGTCTTTTCGTTCAAGAAAGCGCATCGTGCTACGATAGGCTCGAAATATTTCGATGCATCGCGAGTCTTGTTCTGTTCGTCGAATACAGCCACCTTATTTACAAGTTAATCGGAAGTAGGCAGTGATGAGAAATGATTAAATATACAGCCGGGTGTCTCTGTTATTGTCGCGTCCCCGGGACCGGGACGTCACAGTTAGGAAGTGATTTGTTACGTTTAAAGTGGCGGGGACAGTTAGAGGGGCAGGGACCGTGACAATCAAAGAAACACCACTGCGGTGGATGTTCTATGAGATATAGCGCTAACGGGTAGGTTGGGTGATTCCTAAAAACAGAAATCGTACATTTACAACTAAGCTTTCACGTGCCAGGCTTCATTTTCGATTTATATCACTTCTGTTTGTTATTTTATTTATAGTTTCAAGTCAGTACTACGTCGAGAGTTTATTGTAATGTGGTTTTATTTTATCTTGAATGTGGAATATAAATTATAGTAGAAATATATGAGTACTGTCGAATTGGTTCACAGATCGACATAATAAATCTTCAAAAATCGTTAAAGTAGAAAAGAAAATAATTCTCTGGACTCGATAATTTCCGTAATAAACTCGTACGTTTTATAGAAACATTCTGCTGAAATTAATTCAAGCTTTCGCTGAATAGAATTTCGCCAAGAATATAACAAGGAATGTATTAATATTTAAGGGTTGAAGAAACAGTGTCACGGGACAATAAAATTTTTTAATTCACCGCACAAATTAATTTACAGTCGATCAACGTACAACACACATTCTAATAAATCCGTCCACTATAACTACCAAAACAAAATAATTGTTTTACCGTGTTGTACGGGGGTTGACTGCACTACCTGTACCATTTCTATTGCATACTGTCCACTACAAATTTGTTCATAAAATAACGTTCACTGTAACAATTAAGTTGTGTAGATTCCGTCGAAAACGAAGCCTTTCAAATTGTTTCACATTTTCAATTCGTTTCTTCAGGGGGAATCAGCACCTACTCGGTAGAACACTATATTTCGCGAGACACCCTGTATATCGAGAATCGTCATCCGGGATGATTTGGTCCAGTCACCGCAAAAACGTTAGTAAGTATAATAAAATTCGATATTTTGGTTTCTTGATCGAAGACCGTTCGACTGGGAAATCAACAGACCCACCCCGCATCTTTCTTTTTTCCATCCTCCGTTTTCACCGTCGAGCTCGGTTCACTCTCTTTCTTTAGCAGCACGCAGTTATTCATTTTTTTTTTTTTTCTTTTTTTTTACGAGCTAATATCTTACCGTGGTTAATAATTCACTTACCTGTCACAAAAATAAATACTTTTATCATGTTGCTTAAACTACTCGCTTACGTACTAGAAACAATGAGTCCTGCTCAACGTGGCCAGCTGTTCCAGCGGGATTTACGATATATTTTCTATGTTCTCATACTATAATGTCTTTTCACGCATTCTCGCTGCTCGTGTTTTTCCATATTTTTTTTTTTTTTTTTTTCTCCTTCCCCTAAACGTTTACCGTGCGTTCAATTTAAATACGCCCGATCCACGCATTATTATCGTTAGAAATCGTACGAGAATTACGACTACCCGTTTTAACCTGCGACGCTAAGAAACGGTCGCGTGTACGCTGACGTTTCGACGTGCAACTGAAGGTCCGTGAGACGCAAATTGGCTTCGAAAATGGACGAAAGTCTCGGAGCTGAATCAGTTTCTTCTTTTTTTTTTTTTTTCGTTTTTCTCTTTGGCAATTTCAGATACACGAGTTTGCAAAAGCGGATTCGATGCGACAAAGTAAAGGAAAAACGAAACAGGGTTACGAATCTGTCGTTACGAGACGATAATTACAATTACCTCGGCCCGCGTTTCGATACACGTTATTAGAGTTTACGTTGATCGGATAGCCTCGATTAAACACACTCTGAACACTACGTTTTAACGCGGCAAGTATAAGCATCGTAAAAAATATGGTTATTGTAAAAAACTAGGCTACGTCGTTATCCGGTATGCAAGCATTCAAGAATCCACGTTCCGATACCGCGTATCGGTATTCAAGAATCATCGGGAATGCGTTTTCGTTGAAATACTGTTCCGTACGAAGCAAAAAAGAAAAAAAAAAAAAAGAGATAAACCTAACCGTGCGAAGCTAAGCTCAATCGTTATTTTTTTTTTTTTTTTCATACAAATAGTGTGTTCAGATATCTGGTGCTTCTCGTTTCTTTCTTGGTACAGCTACATCCTTTGGCACAAACAATGCCGCGTTCAGTTCGTACGCCTCCCCAGTCTCAGTGGCATACAATTTCTTAGTACTTGGAAATCCTAAAAACCTATTTCGCTGAATTGTTCTCCCATCTCTTCGCGGATCCACCGTGTCGCGTGAATCGTCACTCTCCTTACTCCTTACGTTAAACATCAATTTTCCATTAAAGATTCCGGTTTCGTCACGCGTCTCGTTAGGAATGGCGGGTATTTCTCTATCTAATCCCTAAATCTTGCGCGTTCATTCATCGTTTGTAGCGCGCGTTCCTCGAAAACGACCTATCCGGGAACACTCGGTGACGGTTTCTTTATTCGCGACTACTAACCAGTTCGCTGGATATCGGTGTGTATTTTTTTCATTTTCTTATTTGTTAATTCTCTTTCATCTAGTCCTTTCTCGTCTAACGATACGCGTACTACAGCTAGAAACTTCTCGAAAGGATAATCCCCTATTCTCACGACCATTTCATGCGACCTTTGATTCAGAGGGAACCGTTTGTTTGCCGTTTCGATGTGAAATCGCGCCGACGATAGGTGTATTCCGTTGGATCGTTCATGATTTTAACAAGTTATAGGAAACGCTGTCTATAACGTTCTTTCGTTCGTGTCGGTTCTGGAAGTTCGCGGATACTGACGCGAACGCCATCGCTCGAAGACCCTCGCAATATACACTTCGAGGGAATTTCTTCCCCCGTCCCAGGAGGTACGGTACAACGTTGAGCGATTTATTCACAAATCGACAAAATCCCTTCAGGTCCATGGAGTGTATCGTGATCGCGCCGGGTGTCAGATGGCCGTGTCCAGAGCTGTCATACTCGTTGAAATATCCGGATCCGCACGACAAGCTTCCAAAAACTCGGACAGAGTCACGACTCCGTCCTTGTTCCCGTCCATTTTCTGCAACGGTTACAAACATTTGTATTTAATCATTTTCGAACTCATGCACCGATGGTTTATTCGCGACACGAACGGGTTTTTAACAAACGCGTGGGTCATTTAACGTCTTCGAAATACGAGGAAATATTCGATCGATGTTCGAAGGGTGATTTTGCGAATTTTAAAACACCTTGAAATTTTGTGTACAAATAGAGCAGATACACTCGCACCGATTTTTTTCGTTCGAGTCATAGTTTAATTTTAGAGTAGAGTTATCTTTCTCGTCGAATATCTCGTAAATTTCTTGAGAAATAGATACCTTTCGAATTACCCCCTCCACCGTCCTTTGAAATTCACTTTACTCTAGTTCTTCCCAAAATTTCATTGAAATATATACACTGTTGTAGGAGTTATGGACGTTTGAAAATTGGACCATTTTTATAGGGGTTTTCTCACAACTTTTTGAACATTTTTGGAATTTCTACATATTCGTCGCTAAAATACGCGTCGTTTGCCTTTTGAAACATTAAAATCCTCCAATCCGTTCAAAAGTTATGATTTTTCAAACATATGCATGAAATTTCAGGGAAACATATCAATGGATGATCAGACATATTTTCGGTAAGAAATTTTTTTCTCGGAAATGCGTAGGAATTTCGGGGTATGTTTATTGACCAAAAATGATTGCAATTGATCCTTTCAACTAAAAATAATTTTTTCAGAACGATTTGTAATTTTTTTTCGCCGAAAAATTTAGGCACCTGGTTCCTGTACACCTACTTATTCTGTCTCAACATATTATACATTATGAGGTTATAAATAATCACGTGGTCTACGGAGCTACGTTTGTGTAATGATTACCAAAATGTTGTAAGTTGAAAACTCTTTTAATTTCAACCGTGATTGGATTAATTGTACCAAGGCTGTACGTGTGTAAGTTTGCTAATTTTCGATTGTATACAATTATACAAATGCGCCTAGATTATATTATGATGCATGAATAGACATTTCAAACGCACTCGACTGAAATCCTTTAATTACCCAGTTCTAATTATAGTAGGGTCATGTAAATTTGACGGTTCGAATCCCTTTAGAGTGATAATACGATAAAAAATCAGTCGATGTTGATGTGTATCGTGTCAAGACTGTGGATAAAAGAAGCAAATTGCCAAATTATTGTTGTCTTCTCCTAACTAGCAAAATTTACAGTGGCTCATAGCGATTCATTCAAAAGACAAATTGAAAAGATGGAAACATAAGAAAAAGCTTTCGTTTTTCTTATTAAAATCGTATATTTTATTGTATACTTTTATAGAAAACATTAAACAAATTAATAAACCTGCAAACATTGTACCACCTCGTTGATGTAATCTCCAGATATTTACATTAATATCGACTGACGTTGAAGAATAAAAATTCTCTGTTAAAATGAGTTTAATTACAACAGGTACTAAAATGAGGGAAAACAGTTTGAAGTTTAAGAGGGAATAAACAAATTAATTCTCATGTCTAGATGTTGGTTAAGGGAAATAAATCTGGATAGAACTCATCAGTTTCAATACAAAAGTAAATACTATAATAAATGTTAAACCAAGTAATTCCCGATTACGTGAAAATAAAACGTTCACCACCTGGAGATTTTACGAGTTTTGATTGGCAATTAACGTGTTAAGCGTATATCGATTACAAGTATTAAAGAGATTATTGCGGTTATTGCAAACGAGCTCTGAAAAGAAAATCTTGTCAATATTAATCACTGTACAGTCTCGAAACCGATATTGGGATGGCTGAATATTAGAAAAATGTAGTTTTTTCTGATTAATTAACTTTTAATATATTCATATACGATAAAGGACAGGCATATTCAACGTCCTTTTATTCTTACAGATGAATAATAAATCGATCAATTGCAATTACAAAATTCTGTGCCAGTTGAGCGTTGAATTTGTATTACATTCCGAATTAAAAATTGACATTCTCTTTTTGCAATAGTTGTTCGAATTTTCACAAAATCCGAACTAAGTAATTTCAGGTAGGGATGATTGGGTACAAATAAGGAAATTCCAACTCCAATCCTCATATAATGCGTGGTAACAGGAACTCGTTTCTGATGAAACGAAGGTATGAAATATTCGTTCAAATTGTCTCGCTGAAACGAATTGCGTCGTTCTTTATTCAGCGTCGAATACAGATAACAAAGGGTACTACCCTTCTAGACGCTGTCATTCATAACTAACAATGTGACAACCGCTAAAAGGAAACTTTTTCTTACATCGTAGACGTTCGTTCGACAATTTACAAATAGGCACTCGCTCTCTTCGTCAAAATGAACGAATAAGGCTGTCGATGCTCGCGAAAATCCTTTTGTCGCTATATTTTGTAGCTAACTGTTCGCCATTCGCTAATAAAATTGTTTTCACGAACTTTTCGATCACAGAAATTAATCGACGAATACATAAAATGGATTAGAAAATTATTTTTTATTTGAGACCTAAACGGAATGGTGGCAAACCTCTTTTTCGTATTTAAAACATTCAATAAAATGATATCTAATTTAGTAAGTTATTAGAAATGTTTGGAATTTAATATTTTTTACAACTCTATCTATTTTTATAACAAATTTATTAAATTTAGTTTCGTCAGCTAAATTAATGAATAAACCTCTAATTTTTTCGTTTATTCCCTTTGACTTTATTGTTTCTTCTGAATGCCATTTGGGGGAAAATATGGTCAATTAAGAAACAAGTATTATTTTCTCAAACAATAATAAATATCATTTGGAAAAAAATATGTTCAATTAAGAAACAAGTGTTCTCAAACAAGCGGTACATCAATTTTTTGTTAATCGACCGAACGTAAGAACCTAAAATCAATCGAAGTATTTATGAGATATAAATTAAGATTATTCGAAACGATTATTTTTGATTTACTATTTGAAATAAATTTGGTCCAGGGCTGGACCTTCATTTCGCTTCATATAAACTCTTCCAAGGATTTGAAATAGGTTCTGCAACAGAATGTTGCAACAGTGTGAACGTATCCCCGGGCTGCGTTTCGTACATGTGTAACGCTTAGCGCGAAATACGCTTGATATGCACCTTGTGTGTGCACTGTCTCTGCAAAGCGACTCTTTTTAAGTGCTTCAAGTGGGTTCTGTGTCGCGCGTTCCACACGTGAAAATATGTGGAGGAGTGTGCAGCTGTTGCTTTGCCAGATGGTGTTTGGGACGAATATGCTTCCCTTGACTTTAGCAGATAGCACGGGTAGTAATATCGCCCGGAACATATGAGAACAGCGAAAACGTACAAAAGTTATTAACGGCATGGCTAGTTACGCGATCGTTCCGCACGGATAAAGATATTTTCTAGGTAATTTGCAAATTGTTTTTAATCGTCCGTAACGAGCAGTTCACGGTTCTCTACTATCGATTTAGAATATTCAGATTTTCTACACGCGATCGTTTTATCGAATTTTAATTTTTTCAAATTCGATAACAGTCGCTTTATTTTATGAAATAAATTATTCAGGTGAACGGATGGAAAATGTCGAAAGGCATTTTTGCATAAAATTCAGAAAATCAGAGAAATTATTTTAAGGAACGATGGAGGAGGGAATTCAAAAAGCATCGATTTTCTAATATTTTCGTTTGAACTTATTTTTAAATATTCTCGAGATATTCGACGAGTACGGTGGTAGTTTTCAATTTTCTTTAAGGGTTGATTCACCCCTGAAAGTGAATTTTGACTCGAATGGAAAATAGGTGGTCTATTCTGTACACAAAGTTAATAAATACCATTTAAAAGAATAATCAAAGAAATAAGAAATTATCGAAACATTACAGAATTAAGATTCAATATAGAATCCAACATGATCAAAGAAAACGTTTCAAACATTTCTCATAAGATCGATCTCAATAAAAGTGTTCCAGTGCCTCGTGTTATTTTTCTATACTGGTAACTAATTTTACTTTCGTCGAGTTCTAGTGGAAAAATGCTTGAAACGTGTTTTTCTGTGACCACGCCTTTCTTAACTAATAACCACGTATGTAAAGAATAAAAAGGATCTCTTCTACGAATTGTAAATACACGATTTAAATTTAAAGAAAATTCCATTTTGAGGGTAAAAGGAAAAGCATGAGACATTCGTACCTGGAACATTCGATCTACTTTCTCGCGTACGCCCTGGTGATCCAAATTCGGATCAGCAAATTTCCCCATCAGTTCGTATACGGCTGTCACGATATCCGTCATTTCTTCCCTCGTGATACACCCGTCGCCATTGATGTCGTAGAGGGAAAATGTCCAGCGTAGTTTCTCATCGATGGAACCACGGGACAATATACTAAGGCCGATAACGAAATCCTGCAAAACAGGAAGGAAATTGGTCCTCTCGAAGTTAATTGTTTTCATACGCGATAGGGTTTCTATTATTTATCGATAAACAAATTATATTTCACGCGAACAAACAAGTCTGAATTCTTTCAATAAATGAACTTTTCGAAGTACTTATTAAATGAATTGTAAAAGATAAAAAAGAGTGAACAAGAAGAAGATAACACAACTAACATCGCTTGGTTCTTGGAAACGAATTGTTGAACGAAAGGTAAAAAATTATGATCCAGTATCTATTGCATCATCCATTCACTGTCAATAATGTTTAGATAATGGAAATAATTTCCCACCTCTGGGAAAACTTTTTGGGAGATTCTAGGGGCCAAAATAAGACGAAGATCAAGGATACTAATTTGTTGATCGAGGCTTCGTTAAAAAGTTATAGAAACATATCCGGCCACACAGTATATTTTCAGTAAAGAATTTTTTTCTCGAAAATGAGTAGGATTTCGGGGGTGTGTTTATTCACCAAACATGGTTGTAATCTACCCCCTCAACCGAAAATAATTTTTTTAGTATGATTTGAAACACATGAAATTTCAGGGAAACATATCAATGGATGGTCAGACATTGTCTTTTTGGTAAGGAATTTTTTTCTTGAAAATTCGTAGGATTTCGGTGGTATGTCTATTCACCAAAAATGATTGTAATTGACCCCCGCAATTGAAAATAATTTTTCCAGAACGATTTGAAAAAATTGTTTTTCGCCAAAATATTTAAGCTGTCGATTTTCATTAAAAATTCGTTTTTCATTTTTAATAAATTTGTATGGCGCTGTACAGAAAAGTTGTTTCATACTTTTTTGCAGGTATCCATGAACTCTAGTTCCCCCCCAAAATTTCAATTAAATATATTCACTATTGTGGGAGTTATGGCTGTTTGAAAATTGGACCATTTTTATGGGGGTTTTCTCATTTTGCGAAGTCAAGGAATAGCTTTTCGAATATTTTTGGAATTTCCACATATTCTACGCCAAAATACGCGTTGTTTGCATTTTGAAACATTAAAATCGTTCAATCTGTTCAGAAGTTATGACGTTTTAAAGACTTCGAGGAACCATTTCAGGCCTCAGATTATATTTTCGGTAAGGAATTTTTTTCTCGAAAATGTGTAGGAATTCGGGGATATGTGTATTCACCAAAAATGATTGTAATTAACCCCAGCAATCAAAAATAATTTTTTCAGAACGATTTGAAATTGTTTAATTTTGTCGAAAAATTTCGCACCTTCTCGAATTTTTTTCTCGAAAATAGATAAGATTTCGAAGATATGCCTAATCACCAAAAATGATCGTAATCGACCCCCTCAACCGAAAATAATTTTTCCGTGAACGCTTTGAAATTTTTTTAATTTAATTTTGTTAATAACTTTTTAACGAAGCCTCAATCTAGAGATTGCTATTTTTGATTTTCGTTTTATTTTGGCCTCCAGAATCTGTCTTTAAAATTTTTCCCAGGGGTGGCCGAACACCCTTGTACAAATTTATATTATAATACGTATTTCGATTTCAACAACATCCCCTGATATCCACCACGGAAAATGATCGATTTGTCGTGGAGCGTCTCGCATGAAATATGGGTGCATATGTTACGTATGTGGCGTATCGTAAAGCGAACGAAGCCTGCAAACTGTTTCCAATCATGATAGAACAATTATTATGGAAATTCGAGCAGAACTTTGGGTACTGCTAGAGAGGGACTAGTTTGCAACTTTCGCGGCTGGCCTATTGTACCACTCGTGAGTATTTGAATTTACCTCGGAAGGGAACAATTACGACGATACGTAAATAACTTCCGTGTATTCTATATACTCGGCCGTGCAATTTGAAACACACCGAAGAAAGGTACTCATTAATGGTGTCTATGGTTAAAAGAGAGCTTGTACAATTTGTTCTTCCTTAGAACTCGGTTTAAGACTTGAAAATAATTTCTCTTCACGTTTCAATTTCCACTTCATTCTATTAAAAACGTAAGACACAGCGTAATTAACAGAACATTGTTACGCAGCATAGAAACTAATCCAATAAAGAAAATTGTTCATTCAGGAATTCTTGTTAATACTCGAGCATCAAGTAATATACTCAAACCCTTTTCTAACACGGTTGTTCGCGCTAGAATATACTTGGCGGAATTTCTAAACAATTATCGAAAATTGATTAGATGTACACACGTCCTCCAGAAAATTGATCTAGTCCAAATAATATTTTCTATAAATCTTAGCAAGTGTTCAATGTGAAACAGTTAAATATTTTCTCCATCTTCGAATTGAAGTGTTATTTGTTCTAAAAGGAATTTTATTAAACGGAGAAACATGCAGTGCATTTCGTGATTGGAAGAACCAAAATGGGTTTTTTCTCGGTTTTAAGGGACACTCGCGCCGTGGGCATATGTTGTCCCCGGAGTGGTTAATGTTTCTCTCATGGATCAAAAAGCTGTGACCGTGAAAACGTCAGAGCTGTTAGCGCGGCAAATTGCATCCTATGACACACAAGTATAAAAGAACATCAACGAGCTCGAGAGATAACTAGAGTGCATAAGAAGCGAATTCTTTGAAGAATAGAAAGAGGATATTTATGAAGAAGGATTCAAAAGAATTCTTTGAAGAATAGTAAGAGGACTATCGTGCTAGAAAGTCGGACGAAAATTTTTGTAACGAGAAGTTAATGTCGGAGCCTGTATTAAAATTCGAAACTTTATTCCCCCGAAGTAGATCGCGGATATTCATGCAAATGCAGCCGCTTTTTTTTTTAGAAAATAGGAAGGTAGAACTTGAATTGAAATTTGTTTCGCCATTATGCAAAACCGTGAGTCTCAAAATTTTATCGAATTTGTGATTTAAATCACAACTCTAAATCACGACTGTTTTATATTTAGAAAAATTACTTTTTTGGTGTAGCATGAATTACAACTTTTTGAGATATTATATTCTTCATTGTGGCTAAGTTGTTATTTGGAAAAAATAATTTTAATTGTGATTTTTTATGTTAAATAAAATGTATAAAATATAATATAAATAAAGAAGAGAAGGTCTAGTTGTTTAGATTTCTGAGTATTTTATAATTTGACAATTTAGTTCCAAATGGCATTACACTAAAATTAAAATTAAAATTAAAATTCATTTTAATTTTGAGTCATTTGAAGTAATAGAAAAAATGCTACTTCCACAAGTGAAACAATGATATATTTTCAAAGACAAACCAAAAACAGAAATTGGATCACCGTTAATATTAATAGATTATGAATTTAAAAACTCGTCAATTTCTAGAAAAAGATTATTTATCTTTATAACATTTTAGAACGGAGATTGTTTCATAACGAAATATCGACAGTTTGGCAATTTCGTGTAAAATATACATTTTAAATTTGTATAAAATGTAAAAAGCAACGCAATTAAATTCGCGTGCAGTTTCATGTAAAGTTGCGAAGCAAAATGCAATCATGATGTGCCTGTGCAGTGAAAAATTAGTTACTCGTGCGTGGTTACAGAATAGAAAACCCGATGAATACAGATAGCGGAATGTTGTATAAATTCCAGTAGAAGGTACAAAGCCTGAAATAAACCAAGAACGACGATACTTAATCTTAATTACGTTCAGACTCTAAAGTTTCATGAACCTTTCATTCCGCTTGTTTGCAGTTCGTGCTTGATTTCACAGTTTCCGACACCGCCTTTCTTTCATGGGGAAAGGAGGTTTTAACTAACGTCTTTGTAATAAATTTCCCTTTACATCCACCGAATCGCGTATCGCGTTCGTATCTACGAGATCGTCGATAGAAATTAATTAAATTGAAAGGAAACAATGTTTCGAAGATGAGCAATACGACCGGCTGATTTGTTGAAAATTACTTTTTAAATTTTTTGGTATTTTCGTTATTAAAAATTATCTCTCTTCTCTAAATAAACTAATCTCGTATCGACGAGATAAATAAATGAAAACTAAAATTAATATGTTGAGTTCTCAGCTGTGTTTGAAATCCTTGATTCATTCTGGATGTTAATTTGGGGAATATGATTTCGAGAATAACGCGTTTAAAATTTTAAATTTAAAATTTTTAAATTTCACCTCTTTACGTATCTTTTCGTTCGTATTTTTACTGCATTCGTTTGTTAAATATTATAATTTTGATTTATGAGAAAGATGAGAATCTTCTCTTGGTATATATTTAACATCAGGAATATTTCCATTAAGATAACTTTGTGACAAGTTTTTTTGTGGAAAATATTGTAAACAGTTCTCGGTGAATATAAGATAACGACGATTTTTAGCCAGACTACCGACCTGTTCTGTTATGAATAAATTGTTTTCGTCCACGGGGCTAAATGGAGCAATTTGTCGTTAACTATTCGACATCGTGCTCGCAGTACGCTCGGCCTGACGTTAATAGCATCGACATCTTCGACCGGATACAAAAAGAATTAATAATGACGGCCCTGCAATACGAATTCTGGCGCGTATACGACACGGCCGAAAGCACTTTATAGTTCATGTTCGTGGGACAAATTGGATTAGTAAACGCTTCAATTACGGTAAATCCAGTTATGACAGCGTTTTCTACTCCGGAAGTACGTAGTCGATGGGAGAATATTCCGTGTGTTGCTTCTATTAGCTACGGATATTCGACAATCGAATTGCGGATAGTTTGAAATATCGAATAGACAATTAGAAAACGCTGAAAATCAAATAATTCCATTATGAGGCTATAATAGAATATTATATAGGGCAAAATACTTAATGTGCAATTACTCGATTCTGACAATATTGCTTTTCTTATTCATTTATCAAAACCATTGCCCCTTTATTTCCTATCCAATGTTTGTAATTCAAGAAGGAATACTTCAACTTTTAAAATTTCTATTTTTATTTCTAAATTCAGTGATTTAAGTAGAATGTTTTGGAATCTATTACATAGATTTCTCCCTCCATTTGCTATTCAATATTTGTAATTCAAGAAGGAATACTTCAACTTTAAAAATTTCTATTTTTATTTCTAAATTCAGTGATTTAAGAAGAATGTTTTGGTATCTATTGTGTGCATAGATTTCTCCTTCTATTTGCTATTCAATAATTCTAATTGAAAAAGAAATACTGTATCTTTAAACACTTCTATATTTATTATTAAATTCAGTGATTTAAGAAGAATCTGTTGGGATCAAAAAAGATTCCCATTAGTAACCAAACATTTCGTATACACGTTCAAGACAAGCTGGACATTAAATAAGTTATACATGCAGTGCAAGTAAGCATGATAACGGTGAGATAGGAATTCCTCTTCCGCAAACACAGGAATGCGTTTACATCAGTCCTAAAAGCAAACAGAAATGCTCGACGGAATAAATAGCGATTGTTGATTTAGGCTGTGGTGATTACACTCACAGTTATGGCACGGCGGACAAAATTTCAATTGCACGCAAAGAATCGAAACTCTAGAAATTCTGGAAATTCAAAATATCAAAATCAAATCAATCAAAATATAAAAAAAACAGTTATATCTTTGTCTATCTTACCAAACGCAATTAGAAGATCGTACACATTTCATAATCTTCTCATATTAGAATTCTAATCTATTTTAATTCAATTATATTCTCATATTCTAAGCTCCTTTCATATTTCGTATTTTTATCGCAACTTTTTAACAGAGCTTCGAAGAACCCGAAGAATTATATTTATATAACATTTTTTTTATATGCTGACAAAGTTTAGACAATAAAAAATACATTATTCCTAGCAAAGAATGTAGTCCGAAGAATGTATTTATTTATCAGATAATTGAAGTTTAGTTCTCCGAGTAAATATTGTTATATTTTTAAAAATTCGGTGCAAGTTTGTGTAAGGCAAGGAATCATTATTCACACATTTTTTTTATATGCTGACAATGTTTAGACAATAAAAAATACATTATTCCTAGCAAAGAATGTAGTCTGAAGAATGTATTTATTTATCAGTTAATTGAAGTTTAGTTCTCCGTGTAAATATTGTTATATTTTTTAAAAATTCGGTGCAAGTTTGTGCAAGGCAAGGAATCATTATTCAGTCGACGAAAACGTACGAGGATTAGGATAAAACAGCAGCGTCGAAGCTTGGCGCGGTAATACGATTAAGTTCAAAGTCGCTGGTCGTCTTCGTCTTTGTCTAAAGGGACGAATTCGCGCGAGGAGAAGCAACGACGAAGATCACGCGATGGAGAAGTCATGTTGTCGTAAGATAAAAATCGCTCGACTAGAAGCATCATACTGGAAAGGAGAAACGGTAATCTTTCCGCGTTTGCAGACTTTAGGGTGAGCTCGTAATGCGACTGAACTTGATAGGGGATTATGCTACGTAAAAGTGTTGCTAATATAGAGCCACCCTTCGAGATAACGTGCATCACTGGAGAACGAAATCTTCTGTTCGTCAGAATTAGAACCGTTCGAACGAGGATTGCTCGTAATCCATTTCGCTCGAATTATCTGCTGAAAAGTTCTAATCTTGACGATTGTACCCAGCCACTTAATACCGGCACGATTTTCATGAAATTTTAACTTTAATTGCGACGATTCCCAAGGAAAATTTACCGACGAAAAATGTGAAATTAATTTTTAGAATCGATTGAATTGCGATACTTTTACGTATTATATACGAAATCCATGATTTGTAACAATAAATTAGAAACTTGGTCAAAAGGTGTCAGAGAAATATTTCCAAACTTAATTTGCAACAGTATGAAAAGTAAAAAGAAATTTTTTAATAGAACAGACAGGCGTTAACTAAATTTTGGCCCTAACTGTGTCGCCACAGAACCGCAAAATTTATCTAGGATTATCTCGCGTTACCGCAAGTCGCAAGATCATATTTCACCGTTGATGTATATTATTCCAGAAGCATGGTTATGGGGCATCCGATAGAAAGACTTAATTAAACGGGCCAAGTCGTCAAAGAAGAACGTATGAACTTTATTGCGTACAAAAGACAAGAAGAACGAACGAGGGAAAATGTTCGTTACACACAAAGAGAGAGAGAGGGAGATAGTCACGTTAACGTGCCAGTTTAGAGAAACTCGCGAGCTAATTACACAAAGTACATTTTCAGCCCCGAAGCCACGGGGGATAATTGTGTTAGTTTGTAATTATCCCCCGACGACTCGTCTGGTTTTCTTATTTCTCGACCGTGGAAACCGTAAACACGGAGAAATGAACGTGCGCTATATCGAGCTGCAAATTAACCACGAATGGCGGATTGATTCGGGCCAGCTATCGATTGGAAAACTTACCTAGATCTATGTTGCTCATTATCGGCATCCCACCTAGCAATTAGCGTTAATCTCCATCGGATATTTGTCTTAAGCATACTTGCCCTCCGAACCAGGCGACTCGCTATTTGCACGGCGCGACAATGTGTACGATGGGGACGGAGTTAGGCTAATTTTATTCACGAATAACGAATGCAAACATCGGACTTGATTCGTAAACTAATTTCTACGTTTCGTTCCTAAATTAGAACCTATCGACGAATTTTTTTTAAACCAACATTCGGCCGAGCAACAATCTCATATGTTATTCGAGATGAAAATTTGCCAGACTCTGTAAATGAATTTTAATTCTATGTAAATTTCTAAAATAAACACCTCAGCTTTTTTCCTTTAATATTTGTATGAAACCGATCTTGTCGAGATATGATTATAGTCGAATAAGAAGCTTAATATACAGGGTGTTTGGCCACTGGGAAAAATTTTAATGGGAGATTCTAGAGGCCAAAATAAAACGAAAATCAAGAATATCAATTTCTTGACTGAGGCTTCGTTATAAAAGTATTAAAAAATTTCAAATCATTCTGAAAAAATTATTTTTGGCTGCGGGGCTCAATTACAATCATTTTTGGTCGATAGACATACCCCCGATATCCTACGCACATTCGAGAAAAAAATTCCTTACCGCAAATATGTCTGACCATGCATTGATATGTTTCACTGAAATTTCATGCGGATGTTTAAAACATCATAACTCCTGAACGGATTGGACGATTTTAATGTTTCAAAAAGCAATCAACGCGTATTTTAGTGAAGAATATGTAGAAATCGTAAAAATATTCGAAAAGTTGATCCTTGACCCCATAAAGTGAGAAAAACCCCATAAAAGTGGTCCAATTTTCAAACGACTATAACTCCTACAATAGTGAATATATTTTAATGAAACTTTTTTCTGAAGTAGAGCCCATGGGTACCTACAAGAAAGTATTAGACAACTTTTCTGTGGGGCGTCAAACAAATTTTTAAGAATAATCGACAGGGGGTAGATGCTTAAATTTTTCGGCGAAAAAAAAAAATTTCAAATCGTTCTAAAAAAATTATTTTTAGCTAGAGAGGTCAATTATAATCATTTTTGGTCATTAGACACGCCCTCGAAATCCTACCCATTTTCAAGAAAAAAATTCAGGATGGCGGACAGATTTTTCAACAAAATTAAAAAATTTCAAATTGTTCTGGAAAAATTATTTTCAATTGTGGGGGTCAATTACAAGCATTTTTGGTGAACATACCTTCCCCCGAAATCCTACCCACTTTCTAGAAAAAAAATTCAAAACGGGCGGAAATTTAAACGTTAATAACTTTTTAACGAAGCCTCCATTAACAAATTAGTATTCTTGATTTTCGTCTTATTTTGGCCTCTGGAATCTCCTATTAAAATTTTTCCCAGGAGTAGCCGAACACTCTGTATGAATAACTTTTTGTTTTTGTTTGGATGTATGAACTAGTTCGTCCATGTTACAAAATAAGACTAGATATTTATAGTTCAGTTGCAATTCGTAGCTTATTAACGCTAAACTTGTTTGCCTTACATCATATTGGAATATTACAATTCTTGGAATTCTTTAATTATAAAACAAACTTACCTCAAAACTGAGGATGCCACTATGATCCTGGTCCAGGGTGTTGAAAACATAATGCGCGTACTGACTAGTATTGGCTGTATAAACAAACAAAATATACCAATTAAATTAGAATCAATAATAATAAATATTATATACGAACTATCGACTACCACATTTTTTTATTGTAAACACAGAAATTTCTATGTTTGTGTATTGTGTATTGTGAAGTTTCAACTGTACGAAAGAATGAAATTCGTCCAATATTTTTATACGAGTTTAAAGTTGGACAAGGAGATTCGACGATCAAAAGGGAAATTATGAAAAATATTTCCCACGTGATGTTACATACATATATTTTGAGATAACCATACCCACATTATGGTGATTTTAATCTCTCTCTGACGTTGCTACTGCGAATGCACATAAAACGAATAGCTTAGCATCGATAAATTCTAGGCAGCTTTAGAGGGCGAACCTGTTACACATAAACAGCATACACGTTATACGCTGGACTATAAAACAACCACGGGATAGTAAATTTTATTCGTTGGATGGCAGCTGTCAAATTTAACAGGAAACCGTGGGACCACGAACGAATGACGCTCGTTATTGATGTGTCAATGTGTTCCATTCAATATGAATGTATGTAAACAACGGGAAAACAATTTATTTCGACTATGAAATACCACATTAAAGAGTAAAAGCGATCTGTTGTAAAATTGTTGTTCTATGTCACAAAATATTTATGATCGTTGCATATATTTCCAAGAGCGTATTTTTCAATTCGTATTACAACTAGTTTCTGATAATTAATTGTATTTCATTAAAGAATTGGTAATACAGTTACAGCGAATAATTATAAACTCAATCATATTTCCATATTAATATTCAAATAAAGCATCGAAGGATTTGTTGTTTTTATGTTACTGTTTATGTTCTATAAGTTGTTGAGTCGATCGCAAATAAAATGTTAGCGAATTGTACGTGTTTATGATCGCGAATACTATACTTTAAAAAGACCGATAGTTTTCTTTACGTAGATTTATTCGAAACGAAGTAAGCTATTGCATATAAATACAGTACATTAAAATCTCTATGAAATTTAGAAAATTTGCATACAGATCGAATTTTTGTTTGTTTATACTTCAGACTGTCGGCCATTTTTAATTGAAATCCCCGCATAAATTAATACTGGCCGACGTGATTTAGCGCCTCGATCGTGCTGAATGTCGTTGACAAGGGATAAGCTGATGAAACATGTTTATACGTTGTCGAATTTTTTTTTGTCAAAGATTTTCGGATTTTTCGCCCGTAAATTCTCGTTCGGTGTTCCTCTTACGCCGAACGGCAAACAAATCATGATATCGATACGACATGTCGCTTTCGACCGAAAATTCCTTCCCGAAGGAAAATTGTCACTGTCATGGCGGCCGTCTTACGTATTTACGGTCACGTCTCAAGCAGTTCAACGTTTTAACAGGTTAAACGCGTAAATAAATGCCAAGAAAGAAGAGTAACGCTTGCATTAGAAACATTCTTCAGCAAAATAAGTCGAAGTTGATCAAATTTTGCATTTTATTCGTAAATCCAACGCTTTTTGAATCCAACGATATTTATCCTGAAGAAGAAACTTAAATCTTCGAAGTCACGGATAGTTGTAGAGGGACATAAATTTTTTAAACTTTCGGGGTGGGGGGGGGGGGCCTTTGAATTTAACTCGCTTCCTAGCATAAAGGAATCCCGAAAGAAAATTCAGTTCAGGAACGTGAAAGTAGATGGTTCAACCTTTTCCATAACCCCTAGGAATATTACCTTCTTTTCTTGGAGTCATAGTGATATTTATGGGCACCGATGTACACAGAGATCCAAAAATACATTGTAAAATATTTTTGTAAATAATAATCGTTGGCAAAGTATTATTATTTATCGCTCCTCGGGGGGTCGAACGATTGTCTCGTCGATGAAACGTTAGAGCAACCTTTTCAGGAACGCGACGAACACAAAAACGTTCTGCGAACAGTATCGATACCGTTTACACAATACACGAAATACTGGGTCATTTTGACGTGGGAATTTGTTACCATGGAAACTATTACTAGAAGTTCAACGGTAATACCGCGGTGGCATTTGCTTGTGTTCGATTTTGCTTTCCCTCGCTTTCTATTTTTCTTTCTCCTTCTCCCAAGTATCTTTTTTTTATTGCTTATGCGTTTCAGCGAAACTCCCTGTTACTCTAAAGCAGAGGGAATTGAAACGTATACACGCGCCTCGAATAAATAGAGAGAAATAGCATTGGCGTTAAATTCGAACCTTTCATCGAAATAACTGTTTTCCTGTTAAGCTCTGGGCGTGGTTTGGTTAATTTCGGTACCGTAACTCGTGTTCCGATCGACCCATCGACTTCAAATTTGGAACGAATCTTCAGGAGACTCGACTTTATCGTCGTAACCACGGACATTGAATTTTTTATAAACAAAAAAACAGAAGAAAATCGATAATTCGACTTTAAAACTGTCAATTTCTTAAAATATCTTAGACGAGATGAACTTTATAAGACCGTATATTTCATTACGTAAATTCTATAATTTTTATTATTTTATAATGAAAAAATTTGAAACTATCCTCTAAGGACATTTTTGTGTAACAGGTTCGAAACCAGACTTCATTCGTTTTTCATTTGTTTCGTACAACGAAACTCTAAATGGAAAATCGTTCGGAAACACGAAAAAAATAGATACAAGCGTATTGGGATTTTTCCACGAATAAAGCGACGAGTTTTATTGTAAAAAAAAATATATAATGCTCTTATCGCAGAGGTTGATAGAGCCTTTGTTTTATATTTCGATAACGTTCGTTTAAGAAGTTTATTTTACGACTTGGACGGGTACGTATTACTTCGAAAAAAATTGATCGATCTGTGTTACCAGCATCGCGTTGCTAATTTAGTTACGCGGTTGCAAGTTTGTAACCGAGAATAGACGGAGTACTTTGTCGTAAAAACCGTTGTTTACAGTTTTATAGTAGCTAAATCTGCACGGAATCGCGGCATTTGAAATTCAAGCGCGCACCGTTGCGGCGCATTTAGTAATAAAACCGACAATGAAAAAAGTTGTAACTCTAAAGTGCTTTATTTCGGACTGCCGTGTCAAATTGATTCGTTTATTCCTCTTATCTTACATCCTGATACTTTTCGTTACTATTCTTCCACGCTGTAAGTTTCATTTTTTATTGCGTGCGTGGTATATTCAGTCTTCGTAAACTTTTATCAGTTTGTTAGAATAATTAAAACATTAAACAAAATTTCCTGCTATCGTGGACATTTACAGAAAACTAAAATTGAAAGTTTGGTTGTTAGATGGGTTTAAAAATTTATTTTTTTTATATTTATTTCGTTCATGTGTGTTTGTATTTATAATAATTTTCTGTGCACATTCTCCTGCTTTTTATTTTATTACGTTTTAATATTTCAAAACGATCGACAGATGTTAATTGTTATTATTTCACATAATCGATCAAGTCTCTGTGCGCATTCTGTACTTACTATTGTTTCTTTTCTCTGCGTTTTAATATTTTGTAAACGATCGAATGATCGATGAGGGCTTCGAACTACTCGAATCGATATTCCATTGAATTTTCTATCGACTGGTCCGTAATTAAAAAGATAGTAACACCTTTGAGACGTTATATTATAATGTACTTACCACCTTGCGGAAAAAACTGTGAGAAGATGTACTTGAAAGTTTCCTCCCTGACGACTCCCGTGGGACATTCTGCCTTGAAGCCACGATATATTCTCTTCAGCTCGGCCTCGGTGAATCCCGTGGCTCGACAAAGGCTCGCCAGAGAATCCGGTCTGTATCGAGGCGTTTGTTCCTCCTCGTATTCCGAGTCTACGAAATTCAAATAAGCGAATATCTTCCATTAAAGTAGAACTTCGTTCGAACGCAGTGGGCGACAAATGGTTCATATAACCGGGTAGCTTCCTACGTAAGAATTCACCGATTATCCATTTAAGATTTAATCAAATTCACAGCTCATTATTCGTACTAGAGCTGTATTATAATATTTATGAACTTGAAAACAACTTGAGAAGACAATGACTTGGTTGAAAAGCAAAGATAATAAATATAAAAAGTATTACTATAATTTTTTTGATTATTTTAGATCTTTCAAACGTACTAGATTATTTCTATTTCGAAGGAACTATGATTTCGAGAAATAATTCTCACTGTTACCTTCAAAATAGAGTGAAAAATTATATCGAATTCAATTACGTATTTCTCTACCACGATTGTGATTAAAGAAGCAGTATTTCAGGAAAATAGTTCATATAACCGGGTAGGTTCGTATGTAAGAATACACCGATTATCCATTTAAGATTTAATCAAATTCATAGCTCATTTTTCCTATTAGAGCTGTATTATAATATTTACGAACTTGAAAACAACTTGAGAAGACAATGACTTGGTTGAAAAGCAAAGATAATAAATATAAAAAGTATTACTATAATTTTTTTGATTATTTTAGATCTTTCAAACGTACTAGATTATTTCTATTTCGAAGGAACTATGATTTCGAGAAATAATTCTCACTGTTACCTTCAAAATAGAGTGAAAAATTATATCGAATTCAATTACGTATTTCTCTACCACGATTGTGATTAAAGAAGCAGTATTTCAGGAAAATAGTTCATATAACCGGGTAGGTTCATATGTGAGAATTCACCAATTATTCTATTAGAGCTGTATTATAATATTTATGAACTTGAAAACAACTTGTGAAGACAGTGACTTGGTTGAAAAGCAAAGACAGTAAATATAGATCTCTCAAAGCTTTCAACGCTTTCATAACTTTATTCAACAATTAAAAAAAATAATTCTCGCTGTTAGCTTCAAAGTAGAGTAAAAAATCAGGTATTTTTATACCACGATTGTGATTAAACTCGGTTCCTGGCAATTCGATTCGTGGAAACAAATTTGCAAAAGATAAATAATCTCTAACGTATAGTAGGAACGCGCGTAGGAAATATTCATTGTTTTGACGTTGGTTGTTGAACAGAAACAAGTACCGTGTGCCAATGGTTTATAATTCGAACGGATTCGAGAGACCAGCTGATATTTTCGGTCGCGTCAACGAACTATCGAGGACCGTCGCCTTAACGAATTTTCTCTCTGCCCTGCTTCAATATTCACGGCTCTGATCTTTGAAGTACGCGCGCCCAATATCTCTTCTCACATGACTGAAAAATGAATACACTCGTTAAAACGTACGACTCGTGCTCGTGTACAGAGCGAACCGCATGAATTCTAATTACAAGCTTCTCCGTAAATTGCTTATTATATGAAAAATGTTTCTGAAAGTGGTATACGGTGCCCTAAATTTCCATAAAGCTGTTTACAAGATATCAGATTGAAAGTATCTCGGATCAAAGTCAACCGGGAAGAGAAATTGGAATTTTTAAATTGGTGACAATTTTTCAAATTTTCCGATGATTTGACATATAAATATCTCAGTATCAAAGTCGATCGGTGTTTGAGAAATTGCAATTTTTACATTTAGAAGGCAATTGATTTTCGATAAGAACTCAACTTCACCGTTGTATCCTCGAGTGGAAGAGGTATTTTTAACTTCATGGATGTCGAAACGAATTCGACGATGATCTGGAAGGAAAAGTCGCCGCTCCGTTCCATTCCACGATATTTGAAATAATTTGAAACGTTTCACTCTTAACCGTAAGTGTGCGTACAATATTAATTATGAGCAAATTAATGCAGTCACATATGCGTAACAATTCTCTGTGATACCAGTTAGGAGTTGAAGTTTAAATTAATTTCGTGTTCCAAGTAAAGCGACTAAACGAGACGAATTCTTTCTTCGCGAAATCTTGCAAATCAAAGTTATTAAGCACAAATCGAAGGATAAAAATTGAGTTACGTAATTACAAACGTGTATTTCTTGCTTTTTTAATTTACTGCTAAAAATTTGATTTGTAGTTCGATACAAGTATCGTGTATGTTTCGAAAATTCCGTTTAATGAATACTGTTTGCTCGCAGGGTATTTTTTCTTTGTCAAGTTACACCCCCGGTTTTTCTACATACGTAATTCGCCAACACGGCAAATAGAGTGGTATCTGCAATTCTCACTTTGAACCTGTAATAACAACATTTCAGTCGAACGGTTCAAAGGCGGAGTAATTAACATTCACACATCCACGGTCTACCTTGGAACGAAACGACGATTTGAAACACGTGCAATCGACACGTGTGTACCAATCATGACCGTGTACACTTGCATGTTTAAATGAATTTTCCACGAATGCTGTGCAACCTATTGTCAGGTTGTTTGGATGGGAATCGACGTATGCTTTCATTCGTTTCGATTAAACGAGGCGTAGAATTGCAGCCTGGAAAACGTTTCCGAGAAATTCAGTTTACCTTCGGTACAGGTGAAAGCGACTTGAATATAATACTAAACAAATTTATCAGCGCCTATCGTTCCGATCAAAAATATTGGTCCACTTTCTTCTGTATTTATATCGAGCCTTTTCTGTAAATTTCAACCCAGAGTCCTTAAAGTAAAATTGATTTAAGATCATATTCGTATCGATTCCATCGACAATGTTATTTTTGAGTAATTGTCAAGCAAAAGACAGAATCTGTCTCAAGTGTAATTATTTTTAATGGGAATTGTAATGAATCGTGAAATAACCTTTTCTTTGAAAATAGATTAAACGTTTACTATTTCTATTCGATGTGTATTGATTACGAACAATTTTATGATACATCGAAATGTTTTCGATCTTCGAACTATTGTAACTTCGTGAAAAGAAGTCGTAGATAATCTTCTGGGAGTCATTTTGAAGATTGAACCTTCTACTTTCAAACCTTTTAGCTGAATTTCCTCGAAGGTCTTCTTACAATAAAAAAAACGACTGGGAAAAGGAAGATGGTTTCGCTTTAAGAGATTCTTCGAATTCATACGGTTTCCTGAAGTTTAAACAAATATTCTACGCGTGCAAAATCTACAAAATTTTTAGATAAGGTATATATAAAAAGCTGATTTTAAACTTGACCAAAATAGTAAATATTAAATGTAAATTAATAAAAATACCTGTAACGTATACGTAAGTATATGTTTTCCAAATTTTTATATGCAGGAAAACAATCTGCATTTTATCATTAATTGAATTGATGTAAATTCAAAAATACTCATTGTCAAAAGATCGATGAAACTGACAATGAGTGTGGGTCAATGGCCATAATTATCACGGGTCTTTAAGATTAGTTAAAATGTACAATAAGAACGAGAACTTCTCAACACTTCTACGGAAGTTTGAATTCACGGTAACTTTCATCGTTTCGACAATTACGATGCAAGATTTTCGTCTCGTTTTCCTTTTTCCCAGCGCGTTCCCGCGGTACTCTCGGTCTTTAAACATTTTTCTGGTTAATTCGTTTCTGAAAACGTAAGTTGCGGATGATACGTACGGTTTATATGAATTTTCATGAAGTGTGCTCGGCAATCTAAGGCCCGTAGCGTCGAGGTAGGGCATACCCATTACTGGTTAACCACCAGAGGATTGCATAAGTAAGAACACACTCTAAGAAATATAAATGGCGATGTTAAATCACGGTACAAAAGAAAAACAGCTGATTCCTCGTACAAAATTAACAAACAACGTCCTCGAAGGTAAGACACACTGATTTCGATGAAACATTACGGATTTCTAGATCAATTATTCAGCCAAGATTTACCTAACATTATGTAATTCTAACTGGGGAAAATAAGAAATGAATCACGTTAGGAAAATTCTGATAAAATAAATAAACAAAATTAACGAACAATGAAATCATCAGTGGGGAAACCCAATATAATGATCAACATATAAATAATAATTAATTATTTATGAATTTAATCGGGATTTTTAAGATCCTTCCATTGTAAACAATATTGCAACATTTTGTAAGTTCAATTAATATACCTAAAATCAAAAAGAAAACAATAGTCTCTGATATAATTGCATTAGATTGAAAGTAAAAATTCTACAGTTCAGGTATCTTGATATTTATTTCTATAAACTAAATTCATGGGAAAATACTAAAGGAAAATTGTCTGTACGTAATGTTTTTGACAGCGTTAATATTCCTCCTAAACGGTTTCCAAACCTTTCATTATGTTGTAATTAAAATAACGAGTAGATCTTTCGAAAATAATTTCTTTCATATTAGAAATGTACGAGGTAATCTCTCCAGGACGAGAATTACGAAATAAAGGAAATTTTTTCTCCGGAAAGATTAAATTCTCCGAGTTCCAAGAATATGGTGCCGCAGAGAGTTGCTTTTAATTCGTCGTCAGCAGTTTGTTCCGCGGCAAGTTCATCCGTAGAAACTACTGCTGGCAAATCGGTGGCTTCAATTTTAGAAAGTGCATCGCCTGCTATCTTTTACTGACCAGGAACGTGCCTAATATCGGTCGAAAAACGCTATTATTCTTGGAACGCCAGCTCGCTTAAGACGAATCAAAAGTTATCACGAAGGTGACATCAAATAAAACTACATAATATCGTTAAGATACTAACGAACTTTCGTGTTTTAAACATCCAATAATGAAACACAAAAGGAATCTCAAACTTTGGTCTAATAGAAAAAAGACACAACGCGAGGACTTATTGAGAGTTTGCAAATACTTCTTTAGTAATGAATAAAAAAAATATTTATATTAATAGACATATTCGTTTTATATATTTTGCTATGTTTTCATAGATTAACTATTTTTTTTGTCACCGGGTGAATTATTGATCACGTATAACTATATATTTTTTCGACACTTATTCGCTTTCAAGTGCCATTAAATGTCGAATAAAATATTCGAAACTCCAATTTCTGAATCAAACATAAAATACGATTCAAATTTTTATCCCGTCTGCTTTTTTAGTTCATTTTCAATGAAGCAATAAAGAATGGAAAGAATCTGTTGAATATTTAAATATCGATTAAAACGGAAAATGGTAAGACCTGATACAATATTCAGAGAAATTAATAAAAGAGAGAAGAAACAAATTAAGGAATAATTTTTTAAACTTAATCCTCGTCAATTTGACGATCTAATAAATTTCTGACTCATCGTGTACAAATTTATTGGTCTGCATAGGCAAGTCAAGTTTTTCGCCAGTGTCGTTTAAATACGGTACAATTCAGTAGCGATCCCAATACCTAAACGATGTCGATAACCATATGGTGCTGGCAAGGGAGATCGAGGAAAGCCCACGGCAATGATAGTCACTCGCGAGAGTATCGAAAAAGGAACGATTGAAGGTGAAGTCGAACACAATAATCTTCGGGACACGTAGAAGAGTGGCGAATGCTCACGTACCTACCAAGAAACACGTTGGAATCATGCAACATAAATGGCTGGTAAAACACGCGAGGTGGCTCCGGAGCTACGACGTAACAGAAGCTCAGGAGACTCACATGTTTCAGGAAAATGTGCTCCAGCCGCTTAATGGCATGCAGCTCACGGAAACGATAGAGAATGCAATGAATTGGCACGAACTTCATGAAACGTATATATCCGACCTGGAGTTTATTCTGCTTGATTTCCGAACGTAAAATCATACTCTGGCGGTGAGCACTTTGACCACGTGCGTGGAATAAATTAACGTCGCGGCCTGGTTGGCTACACGAAACCTCCCAACGACCGAGAATTTTATTTAAAAAACTTGAGAATAATTGTTTTATGATCGTGTCACGTTTTGTGTTACGATTTTTTAAACGTACGCATGAAATTCCAGGGAAACATATCAATGGATGGTCAGACATTGTATTTTCGGTAAGGAATTTTTTTCTCGAAAATACCTAGGAATTCAGTGGTATGTCTATTCACCAAACATGATTGCAATCGACCCCCTCAACCGAAAATAATTTTTTTAGTATGATTTGAAACACACGAAATTTCAGGGAAACATATCAATGGATGGTCAGACGTTGCATTTTTGGTAAGGAATTTTTTTCTCGAAAATGCCTAGGAATTCAGTGGTATGTCTATTCACCAAACATGATTGCAATCGACCCCCTCAACCGAAAATAATTTTTTTAGTACGATTTGAAACACACGGAATTTCAGGGAAACATATCAATGGATGGTCAGACATTGTATTTTCGGTAAGGAATTTTTTTCTCGAAAGTGCGTAGGAATTTGAGGATATGTCTATCGACCAAAAATGATTCTAATTGATCCTTGCAAATGAAAATAATTTTTTCAGAACGATTTGAAATTTTTTAATTTCGCCGAAAAATTTCAGCACCTGCTCGAATTTTTTTCTCGAAAGTGCGTAGGATTTCGGGGGTATGTGTATTCACCGAAAGTTATTGTAATTGACCCCTGAAATCAAAAATAATTTTTTTAGAACGATTTCACATTTTTCAATTTTGCCGAAAAATCTCAGCACCTACACGAATTTTTTTCTCGAAAGTACGTAGGATTTCGAGGGTATGTGTGTTCACAAACAATGACTGTAATCGATCCCCGCAGTCAAAAATAATTTTTTAGAGCGATTTGAAAATTTTTTTGTTGCCGAAGAATTTAGGCACCTATCCCCTGTCGATTTTTCTTAAAAATTCAATTTTGTTTTTTAATCAATTTCTTTGACGCTATACGGAATCCATGAGCTCTATTTCATGAATAAATTTCAATGAAATACTTGTACATTGACTATCGTAGGAGACCATTAGGATCAAATCAGCTACCTCTTCCTCGAATTCGCCAGATCTCATGTACAAGGTGGCTATGCATCAGCGTGTGCAAGGGTTTGAACATGTATTTACGGATGTAATGAAGTTATTCACTTACCAAGAGCGAATTTCACACCGGTCCAAGCTTGGCGAATGTAATTGATCAGCCTTCTGTAGAGGGATCTGGGTGGTCGTTTCGTGGAGGTGCCTTCTTCTTCGTCTCCTTGGCCATCGTTGTCCAAGGTCCCCGGCGGTGGTCCCACGCCGGTGAGTGTGCCAACTTGGTTCCTCTCGCCAAGAATATTCACGACTTCCCGTAGCTCAGGCGCTACACCCGGCAGTCCTGGAGCGTAATTCGCGGGGGCGACGCCTGAACCGAATAGGTTCGCGCCGCCCCCGCGACCTCTGTCACGTCCACGACTACTTCGACCCCAGGCGGCACCGCTACCTTCAGAATTTTATGCCGAGTTACGTTTAAACGATCAGATTTCCAGCACTGTGCTACCAGCTCGCGATGAATTTCGCACGCGATCTACCGGAAATGTCGAGGAATCAGGCTTGGCGATTTACCCAAAAACTATTACCGTTCGAATCACCATCGTCGAAAGATTAATATTCGTCTCGAAGCGCGAAACACACACGATCATTCACGAAAGTCTTCCTACCATTCCCTGAGTAGTCCCTATCGAAGAATTTAGTGATATTTTGCCAAAAAATTAGCCTTCTTATTCAACCTCAATAATGAAGAAACTAATACGATTTAATGAAAATTAGTTTCTTTAAAATTGTATCTTAAATTATATTAAACAGCCTCGTAAAGATTATTAAATTTAATTCATCGATCAAGAGTCTCATTCTGTAAGTGAACTTATAGTGAATTTATAATGTTGTATTCTTACTCTAAATATATGCATTATTACTATGTTTTCAATGTGAACTATGCTTCCAAGGCAACAAATTCTGTAATTTATCAACACTGAAAGCATTGCTCGTTCATAATGGATCATACGAACTAAGATTCCAACACATTTTTAGGTCAATTAGCTTTAAAAAATCTGCTCAAAACACGAAAGTATGATTTCTCACTACGACATCCTTTATGATCCAAAAGTTACGCTTCCTGAAAACGAGGATTCTAGGAAAATTATGTTTCAGTATGTTCTATTTATTTTTCAGCGCAGCACTCTTTATAATTGCTATCGCGTACTGTTTACTTTTGTATTTTCTGAAATGTAGGCGCGAGAAATTCAATTTGATCGATTTTCCCGTTTATTCTCATCCGAATGTTGTGCAATTTGTCTTTAATATACTTAACAGAGTTATTATTATTCCGGTCCCTAGTTTTCTTACTCCTGTTTCATTTATTTTCCTAAATTTCCTTCGGTCAGCTGAAACTCGAAGCACAGCGTTTATGTTTCCTGATTCGCGCGCAACAATGCACGGTGAAGATAGTTCGAGGGAAGGAAGGGTACATGTTGCTTCGCGATACCGACACAACTTCTATCAAAACTCACGTTAGTATAGTTGTAGTCACTCAGAACGACGCAACAAAGACATTAGGACCGTAACGAGTTTAAACTAAACTTTTCGTTCATGAAATATTAACGTTTCGGGTAAATCGCGAATGTGAATCCTGTTTCGGAGGGTCGCGTAAAAGTAAATGAATTGTTAACGAGAACACTGGAATCGCGTTAGAATGCCATCGGCCGGTGATTTAGTTTTAGTTTCGAATTTCCACGACACAGGTTTTAAAGAATTCACGATGAAAAAGTTCAATTAACGTTCCGCTATAGGTATCCCTTAGAATCGGTTTTTCTCCGCTTTTCATACTTCGTTTCTCAAATCGACGCTATCGTGGAAATATTCAATATTTTCCGCTTCGTTCCGAGACTTAAACTAGCTTAAATGAAACTAACATGGTTCAATTTTTATTAAATTTTCCACGGGATTCCCAAATCTCGAATCGAAATATTTGAAACGTTATCACTAAAGATTTAATGTTGATAGAATCTATAAAATACAGTTTCTCAGGTATCTTATAATCTGTCCTCGAGTATAATTATTAACTCTGATCGAAATGCACCGAGGTGAATAGGGAGATTTCATGAAATTCACTCGAAAATGGCGTATGACTTTTTCAAATAAAATACACTGCGTTTGGATTCGATAAAGTAACTATCCAGTTCTGTTATAAAATATGGCCTCAAAAGAAAAATTCTTTGATTCAATAATTCATAATAAAAAAAAATTACACTATCTTAAAGCCTAATACGACGAAAAGCTAAATATTTTACACATTTTAGGAATATCGTGTGACAATTAAATTCAATTATCTCGTAAATCGAAAACTCTTATTCTTGGTTTGTTTTTTTCACGTAGAATTACCCCCTCTTTGTACCATCTGGGAGACCTTATACGGAATACGAGGTACACGGACGCGGATAAAGATGAAAATGTTGTCCGTCGAATAAGTTCGTTCGAAATAAATCCGTGAAAAATTTTATTTTATTTGCATGAAAGGTTCTGCCCGCGCACGAGTGCTCAAGTCCTCAAGCCTGCCCCACCCCCACAGCGAAACTCAGGCTTCCGAATCTGACGCACTCTCGAATCAGGTCTCGGGTACTGTCGAGAGCTGTCGAGAACTGTCCTGAGAAGTGCCATTTGATAAGGAGAACGCTCCTTGACTCCGTTCGCGGACTGTATCTTCTTACGTTTGGCTTAGAAGTTGTGCGTTAAGTAGGGCACTAAATTCAACCCCGGTCAACGTATCTCGATTCGATTTCTCCGGGTTTCGCGCAGCCACGTGTGTTAAAAGGCATTAAAAATTCTGAATGGTACGCGTATCTTCTGTAGAATAAGTGAAATTATCGTACTCGATTGTACTTTTTCAAAAGCAACGTTGGACAAGAACCGGAAATTGGGGGTAGCTTTGACGATTCCGAACAACAATTTCCTTTGCAAAAATGATCGTTTCTCAACTAATTTTTAGATTACCGTATTTTTCAACATTTTTTTCAGACCCATTGAAACATCCAAATGAATCATATTGAATTTTCAATGCTCAGAATTCCAGAAAATACTTGAAATTATTATCCGTGATAGGTTCAGAGATTCCAATATTTTTTAGTCCACATAATTCGTTAATAACTGTATAATTTTCACGAATTGCTAAATTACTGGAAAGGATGAATAAAAATTGATCCCCGATTTTCTAAGAAATCTGCAAAGAAACGAAGTTTGAATTTACAAGGGTTGCACAGCAAGTTCTTTCAACCCCTTGTTTAAGGGTGGTTTACACACAGAGGTCGATCGTGTAGCAAGATTGCGAACGAAGCAAATATTAATGATCATTCGTGTTCGTCGATATGATTAAATTTTGTCCAGCTGCGTGTTAGATAATGTAATGATATAGCGACTTACTGTGTAATTACGTAAGCTTGCTAATCACGATTGGACGTGTCCACTATAAATGTCGGATACACACGTGCAGAATCACCATGGTGACCTACATATGCCGTGACATGGAATAAGATGTTTAAGCTTTATCTAAGAGCATCTCGCGTCACCAAATACGATGAATATTTATGGTTTCGTCCTATAAATTTACGTTTAAACTTACAATGTTTCGTTAGCTCCGATAGAGTAGTAATTTATTAACTTTTCTGAAACATTTATTCCACTTATGTTTGCTCAGAGGACTTTTTACCTATACTATATTTTTCACAATAATAATACATTTACATATTATTATATACATTCATCTCGTGTGCATTTCGATCAACGTAAGATTTCAATGTTCTCGTTACGATTAAAACACCATTGTCGTTAAATAATAATCTCAACACCTCCACAGAACTACATAAAAGGTATATTCTTGCATAGTTTTTATTTTCCATTGGTTAAGTTTCATGAAATATATTAAATTTTTTAAATATTGGAAAAATATGAGTTTTGGCACGATTAAATTTTTCCAGTATGAGAATTGATATTTTCATTAAACGTTTAATGTTGAAAGCAGACTCGAATGAAGCTTCATGGGTCTAATAGCTAATGAAGAAATGTTTATTCAATTTTCGTGTTCGTATACTTTTGAGGACATTTTTAGTGGAATAATAATCTCCTATCTAAAACGATAGATACTCGAAGAAACGTATAACGCAATGAAAATAAATGTTTATTCATTCTCGTATAAAAAACTATGGTGAATTTTCAAAAATCTAGCAGGCTAACTTTTTTTATAATTTTTATTAGAAATTATTATGGGTCATTTTGACCATTTCGGTAGTTCTAGTGTTAATTGTTTTGCTACTCTGTAACTTGTTGTTGGAAATATAAGTAACGTGAAAATTACCGTATTGAAATTGAAGTTTTAGTATCTGAATTTACCCTATTTTTTTCTTTATGCACAATTCTGTGGCACGATCTCTTAAGATATGAAATTTATTAATCAACCGATAAACAAAAGAACATCTCGCTTAATTAGAAACAGAAACAGCGGTAAAATGGGATGCAAGCACGTTCATATCTTTCTCTATAAAACATGAATATATCTCAATAAGTAATTGTCCAAAACAAATGCTTGTAGTTTCATTAAATAGGATCCCCTATTGTATAAAAATGGAACAAATAAATTTGTTGTAAAATAATTTGAAAATAGTGCAGATTATTGCTCCAATAAAGATTCCAGCAAAGTAACGTTTCTCATGGGGGGACGAAGAAGATACCTTGACGCTTTTTATAGGAGGGTAGCCCCACAACAGGGCCACAGCCCCCTGCGCTCCCAGCAACAGGGGAGCTGATGGTGGCAAGGCACGGGGCCTCCCGACCGCCAGCCCCGCGTCGTTCCAAGTCACGCCGTCTGCACCCACCTCCACCCCCACTGCCACCGCCACCCCCGGCGGACAACACCACGGCGGGCCCAGGGGTACGTTTGCGTGCCCTTTCTTGCGCGGAGCTCCTTCTTTTAGAGGAGAGCTCCGCGATCTCCTGATGCCGCAGTCGCAGGCTTCTTCGAAATATCCTGCAAACAATTTCGTTCTCTCCATTCCCCGTGGTATTTCTTCATCCTTCGATCGGTTCACGGGACAATTAACGCGTTTAACCCTTTCCACTCCTATGTCGAGTGTGTATTCGACATCAATTTTTATCTCAGGAACTCCTTTGTCGAGTTCCAGTCGACATTGTTTCAAATCCAAACCAAAGATATATCTTGAAAATGCAACAACAGTGTAAATAAAACAGATATTTTAACAGGTAAATTTCAAATAAAATACTTAACTTGATCGAGTCGTTTCATTTTAAAATATCACTATAGTCAATTATTATCCAGCTAAATATTAACTTTTCTTATTAGTAAATAACTTTTCTTTTTATACCATAAGGCTATTTCATAAGAATTTTATTGTGTTTCATTTTAAGATATCACTATGGTCAATTTTTATTATAAAACTAAAAATTATACATAATTATTAATAATTTTTTTTTTAAATATAATTCGAAGTGCAAAGGGTTAAACGCCACGCCACGTTAACATTGTACCGTGTAAACTTTCAGGTCACGTGCTAATGTATCGACATTTAACCAAATAATTTTAGATACGTCTTAATTATACAGGGTTTTGTAGAAACGTACCGTTTTAATTTAATGAAAAAACCAGCCAGTAAATTGAGTTTCTATAAGGTTATTTAAAAACAGAGAATTTTACCGAATTTACCCTATTCGAAGTCGTCGCCGAATGGAAATAATTTTTATATTCGATGTTTTAGATCTTGAACTCTCTAATGTTACACAAAGATTGAACAAAGAGGCGTATATGTGCCTTTCACAGAATATATTCCTAAAATAAAACGTTCTGGTATTTCATTTTTAACTGTCAAATCCTGTTTTGTCTTCGTCTTGAAGAATTTGGATACTTTCCCGAAAAGCCTTCATTTGAGAAGTTTCTTTAATTTTATCCAATTCGAGTAATGGCTTATGGAATCGTTGCATTGATATTTACGAAATGAAAAAACTTGGATACCAAGTAGCAGTAAAATTGGTGAAAAGATAAGCCTGGCGACGTTTCATTTAGCCTCCGTGCGCGATTCTTGTAATAAAGGGCAAACTGGTCCCGCGTTTAATTTTCATTGCAAAAATGGAACGACTCGACGAGAAATTGGGACGTCGAGGAAATGGAATCATTCGACTTTGTTGCTTACCCTTTCTTGCGCACAACCACGTTGTTTCCTCTCTTCGGAGATAGAATATTTAAATTGATTCTGAAGGTATTGTTTCCGCCGATCGGATACCCGGAACCCACGATGCGTTAGTTATTTAGATACACCAGCGTTAATTCGAACCGGAATTCACGATTTTTCATTTACGTGGTAGGTCGGTTACAAAATACTTTCACGAATTTAAGCCAACGCGGTGGAATCTTCAGGATTATCATAGCGCGCGGACTCGAAATTTACGGTAGGTTAGTCTTCGAGTTGATTTTGTGTTACGTTAGTTCCTGAAACAATCCAAAATACATATATATTAGTTTCTTGTACACAAAACAATTGCAATCAATAAAATACAGCAAGTCCTCGATTTAGTTAACCTTTATTTCGAGGTCACAGTAAAGAATAATTATTATGTGTCAACGTTGGAACGTTCTGTTAGTGCGTGAGACACAAATGTACACGTTATAGTATAATTAATAAAGGTAATCCTCTCACTTTATGTTTGGTCTGACCAAGTACGGACACATTCTACTTCGATTATTCGAGAGTCGTTCAAAAGCAGAAAAAGAAGTGTCAACACATTATTTACCAATTTTTTTATTAATTAACGAATCCCCTAAAACTGTTGAACATATAAAAAAAAACATTTGATAGAATCGTTACAAATCCAAATAATTTACAACCTATGTTTACTATTTACTACGACGGTCAACGACCTTGCAAAGCTCGTAGCGAGTTCATTGACCTCGCGACGTAAACAAACGCTTCGAACCCTTATATCTCTGGATCTAATTATGCTATCGACTTGTACGAACACTCATTTTAAAGGGTCTTTTATCTTCTATTTGATGAGTATATCAACTATTACTTTTGATGCTGTCTTGTGTGTTTATTTTGTCATTTACTTTGACGTTATACACTCAAAGAAGTTTCAGCAATTAATTATTGAACATGTTAATTGCTTCGTAGAAAGGAATATCCTCGTCTATGCTTAATTCATCTTGAGACGATTCTTGAACGATAAATAATTAGAAATGAAAACTAAATTCTTTCCATGTCCTTGTAGCGAAGTGTAATATCTCGACAGCAGAGCCCTTCGATCGTTAAACCCTTGCCGTACGATAATGTATCTGACTATAATTCTTGATGTCGGCTTAACGTGACGTTGATATTGCTGCGTTGACACCGCGTCGAAACGAAAATGAAAAAATCCAACCGAGCATTGTAAAATCTCGCTGTGTATGGAAGTCGATCGACTACTGGGTCAACTACCCTGCTAATTTGTAGAGTGCAAGACCTAAGATTTCGACCCGTCGAAGCGTGAATGTGTTCTCCTGTTCGTGCCGTCGGAACAAGGCTTATGACCAAACGGTAAAGTCTGGGTCAGAGCGCTCGTAAAACTACCACGAGGGGGGCGAAGATCTTCGAGATCACTTGGCATAGAAGACCTTGCGCACTGTGCACTTTGTAGGTATATTCCCTTAGTCTCGATTCCGGGCAGAGAGGCGAACGGTTCAAGAAGGGAAAGTACAGAGGAGACGGATGCCCTGCCTTTCAGAGAATTCATCGGGGCGAAATGAAAGTCGTGGAAGTAGATCTGGGGCGCACAACGGAACGAAAGACGTGAAGAGTCATCAACAGCGAATTGCTAGCCAACTGTAACATTTACCTCGAGAATTAATTATACTTTTCCGATTAGTCGAGCGTATTGACCGGATGTGCAAAATGCGAGCACCGCGAGAAAATTAAAACACACCGGGATAGAAAAGCCATTCGTACGCTCCGTTCTTTTTCCCAATTACTTCTCGCGACCTAACGACGCGTTAACCGAACTACCATTCGACACGGTAAAACTAATGCTCTTCGTTTCATTAATATTTTATAGCCTCGATTCGATACACAGGACACATCGGGTCGTGACATTTTTCTTCTTCTTCTTTTAAGATGGTATAAATTTTAATAAGCTGCAAAAATGGTAAAATGCTCTTCGTTTCACTAATATTTTATAACGTCGATTCGATACACAAGACACATTGTGTCGTGACATTTTTTTTCTTTCTCTTTTAACACAGTACAAATTTTAATAAGATGATTTATTCTTTAGCTATTACATTAAAGTCCATAACAATTTCAAAAAATAAAAACTATATAGAATTGAATGCATGATAATGTGGCATATAAACTTGAATTTTATAGCATTAGTTTGCTAGTACAATAGACAACGAGTTTTTATTTTTTATTTTTCAAGGATGTTTCTTAAGAAATAAAATTCTCTCTCCTCCAATGGGATTTATCCTCCTCGGATAAAGATTAACAGTTTGATACTTTCTTTTAAATAAACGAAAACGAGTGGATCCAATTTTCTATTTGTTACGATAACAAAAGTGGAATTAACTTCTGAAATATCATCATCGAAACACCTGTCGCGGTTTATAGGAACCGCGTTATGTGGGTCAGTATCGAAACGAGGCAACCGCTGTCTTTAACAGCTTTTTACGACGTCAAATACAAAATTCTCGCCTTGGAAAGAACCCTTTCTCGCGGTGAGAAACTTTCAGGAATCCAATCGTTGTTTGTATCCGAAGAAATTTTGCTCTACCGAACAATTATTATTCTGTTAAGTTTCAATCAATGATTTTCTCAAGTTAATAAAATCATAAAGATCTGGTAAATTTCTTTTACATTAAGGTTGCGAATACTCGTGAGATTTACTGTAATTCCTTTCGGAATGCAAATGGCTGTAGTGACTTCTCTTTTGCCAATGATTCGTCGTACATTTTCTAAACAAGGGGGAAAAAGCGTCTCGAGAAAAGAACTATCGCGAGTCTGCGCGTGTAAGTATCTCCGGGAGTTTTTGAGAATTCGGTTAAAGAACGGAGGAAGTAGAACTGGTCACAAGATGAGACGCAAACGATTCAGAGATATTGCATCAAAAGAAATCCAGCTGCAAGTCCGAGCGAGATTACACGCTGGCAGTTACGATGCTTTTTATATTTGTATAGTATGAAAACGCGTTTACCACGCGTATTTTAAATGTCAAGTGCTGGTCTTCTTCTCGGTTTTCTATAGTCGACGTACACGGTCGAGGACAAAATTAAAGGAACACGTGCGATAAGTAAAAAGATCAATTTAATACGTAAATTGAGTATAATTTTGTCAAATATGTAAAAAAATCAATTGCAATTTTTTTTTTCTTTTTTATTTCATTGTAATGGCAGAAAATTAAGCTAACATTACATATATTTACACATTTTACAAGTTTTGAAAGGTAATTGTTGTGAATTTCATCTAATTTTAGCTTTAATTCCAATGAAAACTTTAATATGGCATTTTTCTAGAAGGATTTCAATGAATTCCATAAATATTCTATTGAATTAAGATATGTGTTTTGGAAAAACTGTTAAATCGATTATTTCGAATATTCATACAAAATATGAGTAATCTGTTATAATTGTATCTGAAGCAGAGTTGGGCAAAATGTAATATGATCACGATATAATTTCGTATAATCACATCAAAATCATACTACGATTGTCGTCTAATTGCTATGTAACCATAACCATAAACCTTTAAAGCTTGCAATAACTGTCCAATTATCGTGCAATTCCAGCCTAATTACAATGCAATTACAGCGTGATTATATATATTATCGTATCTTAGCAAATGTAATTACGTTACATTTCGCCCAATTCTGATCCACGTGTACCAACTATCCGGCCCTTGATATTATGAAACCCCCTCCATATTTTTATTCGACGAACGGTACGCTATCACCGTGTAACATAAATATTTAAATTGTCTACAGTTTGAAATTGCCTTTCTCCCGTGTCTTCTGCTCTTGCAAGTTCTCCCAAAAGTTCTTAATTACGTTTAAGTCAAGCGATCTCACCGAACATTGTTTTGTTAGCAAAGTACTCTTTGCTGCATTTTGCAGTACGCTCAGCAACATCGTTCCCTTTAGATATATTTCTTTCTCAAAATTTACTTAGTATACTTGTTCATTTGCTCGTCAAATCTGTATAATCAATAATGGAGCTTTCGACACGGTGGAAACTTTGAAACATTTTATGTAATTACTTCCATGAAATATTCGTCTATAAATCGATAGTTCTATCTGTGAAGAAATACAACTCGTTAACGTGTCGGATAAATTTTTAGAGAAATATTAAATATGTAAAACTTTCTGGAATAATCGCACTTAAATTCAGTGAAAAGAAATTTGGCGATTTTTTCGTACGATACAAATGAGTTAGAAAGTACATTTAAGGGTAGTTTTGTATAAAAAAGGATTTCTTTCGTAACTTATTCCATGATTCCATACTAATAAATTTCCTTTATTTTAACTTAATGAACCAAAGGTTATCTCTTTTAATTAAAACTACAATTTCTCGAGGCATCTGAAAATGTACGTGTTTCACGTTTAAGAGTTAAGAAGAATACCTTTTTATTTTGTGAAATTTACAAATAGGGTATCGTTTTAAAAATGTATTCACGCCAGGTACAAGAATATCTAAGGGTTGAGGGTCCAATTTAAAAAATTAAACGCGATCATAATAAGGTTTTCCATGGTCGACGCGAGAACAAATATCATGCATAGTTTTTCAGATACTTGAGTAAAGTTAGACTCTGTTCCAGTCTAAATTGTCCGTTCTGATCCCCGTGCTATCTCGATGCTCGTTAATAGAGACGATTTATCGATAATTCCAGCAGATTCCTTAATAATGAGCAAGTGTCTGTCATTTTTAACGAACTCCGTAATCTCTGTGACCCTTCTACGTACAACATCATACGGAAAAGGCGAAGAAACGACAGATGGGATACGAAAGCGACACCGGAAACCTGTTATATCCACGACTAAACAGATTTCGAACTATTCCGATTCGTGACGTTTCTCTTAATAACCTAATAACCACAAACTCTGGACTCCTAAAATAACCGTCTGTTATCGATTTTGTATCCATTTAATTTCGCGCGACTTTCGAGGAAACATTTAATTGGACGAAGTGACGTCAAGTGAAATAGAACGACATTGGGTACAAGGTTCAATTCGAGCTTTTCTTGGCGACTTTCAAGCAAAAATAAGAAGACACGTATCCGAGCATCCCCGCCGACCATTCGAAACTAATACGATACTTGGAAACAGGCTACTTTGCAAGGGATAAAAGTTCGCGATGAATCACGATTCATCGCTGAGTTCCCTGTCGTTTTCGAGTTTCGAAGATTCTATTTTCGTACACCGGACGAAACAGAATTTTGCTCGCTGACGTTCGAAGAGATCATTATTGGAACGTTGAATAGCCCTTTAGAAAAGGGCGCGTAACGAAGTTACCGAAAGCCCTGCGCACTTTCTCCATTCGGTTGGTACAAGTTCCCGAGACTTCTATGCCAGAAGAATGAAATATTCGATCAATCGTGGTGGTCTTGTAAGGTTTATTCCTTTCTCGAATACCTATTCCCATCCTTTTGAACGACTATCTCTTTATATTACCGGTTTCCATTCTGAATTCTACAGCACGGCCATCGCGATGGGCCACTTTTCTTTCCTCCCAATCTTCTTCCCGGATTCTCCAAGAGTTTCCCCAATGCAGGTTCTCCGATGGTGTTGTTGGCGATTGGGGAAACGATCAAAGGAGAAGATAACGGAAGAAAGGAAGAAACGGTGGAAACAATAAAGGGAATGGAGGCAGGGGACGATAAACTGAAAAACATTCGCGGGGGGTGGGGGGAGGGGGAAGAAATAACCGATTAGATGCGTTCGTACGTTCAAAAAACACATTGAAAGTAGATGTTCTTAACTATAGTAACTCCTATACTCACAAATACATCAGTAAAGATTCCACATTCTGTTTTTATCATTTAATTAAAAAAAACCACCTTGCATCTTCCCGAGAACTGAAAGTATACTCTTATAACTGTGAGACTTTGGCCACGTGTTTCATTCGGTTATCCAATTTCTATTTAGAAATTTCACAAAGACTGTTGGAAATTCCAACAGTTATTAGCGCACCCCTCGCTTAGTTAATGTTATTTTAAATTACTGAATTAGCTATTTGGCAAGTACCTCATGGTACAAAGAAAATTGCCGTATCATAAACCCGTTAAGCACCGTACTTTGGGACCACGGACATCCACTCCTGTACCACCCTTAGTGGGCGGGATTTCGAGGACTGGCCCACGAGGGAATGGACAGGGGCTTGATTAAATACACAATGTCTCCACCTATTTTGGAATCTGTATATATTCGTGGGGCATAAGACTCTCCACATTAGAACATTTGAAGAACAGTCAGAACATATTAAGAACTCCGTAAGAATCGAAACAAGAACAGTGAACATTAAACTGTTAACACATATGTATATAATTGTAAATAAATTCAAGTATTTGTAAATAGTATCGAACTATCTATTTACTAAATAAAACGGCTCCACGAACATAGTGGGAGCCTATAAAGACATCGTCCGAAAAATATGGCTGACTCGGCGGTCCACGTTTCAACGTAATAAATAGAAATAAATTGCTGCTGTTTCGGAGTTGTACGAATCTCATTCCGAGAGTCTCATTTAGCCGCTGAAATTATTCAGCCTGTATCGTCTCGCGTCTTATGTTCTCGCTGCGAGCCCGGCTTTAAAGTTGGAGGATTTATGAACGCGTTGCGAACAAAGTCGACCCTGGACGAGACCGGGAACCGAACTTGTCTCTCGCGGAGGCCGAGCAAGGAAGACAGCCCCGCCACCTCCAACAAATCTTCTAGGTTCGTGGCAGTGTCCCGCCTGTGGATAGACCGCTCGAAACCAACAGCCTATAATTTTCAGCCACGCTGAAGAAGACAGAGGTACCGGGCGCGTGGACCTTAGACATTTCGTTGGACGATT